TTGAATACAAGCGGGTGAGAAATTAAGGGTACTGAGATTTGAATCACACAGTTTGTACGGATGAACTCGTAGATGTATAGTTTTTGCGAATTCAAACAGAACACTGTTCGCCCTCTTAACACATTGCAAAGACCACTTCAGAGATGACACAATAGTGATTCTCAGGTCTTTTTGTTCGGTTAATTTCGACAGGCACCTGCCATTAAGTACGTTGTTGTGAGAGTCGCTCATCGCGCTCGCCTTCTTCGTTTTGAGCCACAGTGTGATACACTTCTCAAAGTTAAAACCCATTAGCCATTTTTGGACCATTCACCTAGGCGGTTAAGACCTTCTTGCAGAGTTTGTTCATTATCAATGTTTCTGATGTGCTGCCATATCTTAATATCATCTGCAAACAGGACTCCATTGCTGTCCAGTCCATGCCCACAGTCATTGACGTAGATTAAGAAAAATAATGGCCCAAGAACGGAGCCCTGAGGCATTCCACTAACAATTGGCACTGAAGGGGGATTTCGCGTTTCCAACGCACACCAACTGCTATCGGCCTACGAGGAAATCTCCTATCCAATTTAGTACATTTCCCTTACTCTCCTTACTTCTAGGCATTCAGCATGACCCCGTGACATGTAATTTGAATGGGTGACCTCAGGCTCGTTGCTGTTGCTAACTTAGGGAAGTCACCTAGGTAGCGATTCATCATGCGACCGCCAAATTATAGAAGCCCTCTGCCCCAAGTTTCATACGGAAATCGTTGGAATCGGTTTAGGTTTGCCTGCAAATGCTTTTCTTCAGCTGCGTTTCGGATGAGGCTCCAAAGTTTAACATAATCTGCAAACATGGCGACGTCAAAATCTGGTTCGCTGACGCAGTTGTTGACGTTAAAAGGAACAGTGTGGCTAAGAACAGAGAGTTGGGGAAACCACATTGGACTGCAACTTCCACCGACTGTGTTCTACTGACCGGGGAAGTTTAAGAACGGCCAAATAGGAAGCCCCGAATCCTCTTCAGAAAATGTCCCCAAACGCCTGTCCGGCTGAGTTTGTGCCGGAGTTGCCGATGTGAAGCGCTATCGAATGCCTTCTCAAAGTCAATATAGACTACATGTAGTGGATTTCCTCCATCAAATGCCCGAATACAACATTCAAAAAATACAGCAAGTTCATCACGCAAGGCCTGCCTCTGGGGAATCCATGCTGCACAACGGATAGCATTTTATTAATCAATAAATACACTTTATATTTTAAGCGCCCAGAGGGCACTATGAAAACAAAGTTAGTACTGAGGGAAAATATTGACAACGTGCACTACTAACTCCGTCCCTTACTGTATATTTCTTTTGACCTTGCCTCTCAATTGGCAATAAACATAAGTACAATTACATTGGTGCGCTTTGTGGGTGACTAGATTTACGGCCGAAATGAGCGGTGTCGATGGCGGCATATTTCACATCCGCAGACGTTTTGTCCTTTTAAAACGACAGTTAACAATCTTGAGAAAATGAATATGAACCAATAAACAAGCAGTGAAAAACCTACGTCTAAAATGGGGTCAGAGTTGTAGTGCTAACTAAGTTTGAATGCTACAACCGTAGTATACGCCGACAGAGAGAAAATAAGACCGACAGTTAGTTCTCGAAATGAGACTGAGATTACACAATAGGGAGAAAATGTAATGATCTACAACAACCAGATAATGCAGCGTCCTTCTCTTATTCGTTGGACAGAAACAATTCGAATGAGGGCTCAATCGGTTCCTTACACAGAGGTACAAAATCGACCGTAACAAAATCCGCCAAAAATATGTCATTATGATGTATCTACACCAGAGTAGAGAGTCTACTGTCCAAGTCAGATGAACTGCAAGTGCAGGTATATGATCTTTCCCCGGACATTATCTATTTGACAGGAACCTAGCTGTCTGAATACGTAGGTGACCGCGAAGTGAAACCACCCAGATTTCATTTGTTTCGAAAAGATAGGAGAGGGCGCCAAGGAGGAGGAATTATAAGTTACGTACAAACATGAACTACTAGTCTCAGAAAAAACAGAACTGTTTGCTTGCAGTATCAATGCTAGCTGGCCTACTATAAAATTACCGGAATCGCCTAGCCTGAAAGTTTTGACCGTCAACCGACCACCAAGAAGTGATTCCGGGGCTGACGCTGGTCTGCTGGAGGAGTTAGCAAAATTAGCTCCTCGACCTGACGTCTTGAGTATGGGTGACTTCAATGCTCCGCTCATCGAGGGGAGTTCAACATACGCACGTGCTCCCGAGCAAGCGTTCGATCGGCATTTACTGGCCCTGACACTCAGTTAATATCTCATTCAACATGTCCTATTTTCCACCAGAGTGCGTGAGCGGTAGCAATCAAACTGCCCGGATCTGGTACTCACGAAATCACTGGACCGCATCGACTAGGTGCACTCTCTAACTCCTCTAGGTCGAAGTGATCACGTCATACTTCATTGGGACTATTCAAAATGTTCGGTACCTTAACGGCCCACCAGAGTTAGAAGGAATAGTTGACGTGGTGACTTCGATCAAACTAAGGCTGAAATAAACAGCATTAATTGGGAAACCGCTTTTTCCGGGCAATGTAGCTGATGATTGGAATTGGATCAGTGAGGCATTGCATACTCTTCTCGGAACCCACCGTTCGATTTCACGAAACAAGCTAAACAAAAGACCCCAGTGGCTAACTCAAGCGCTGAAGAAAGAAGTAAATAAAAAGCGGATGTTTTGGAAGAAATCCTTCGAAAATACCAATTCCATATCCATTAACGCATACAAAATGCACAGGAGCCAACTTTTCTTCAGAACACGCTAAGATTTTTAAAAAGATTTACTAAATCGGGCAGTTACAAATCCAAAATTATTCTATGGCTTCTTACAAACTACTACACGAAACCGGGAGCCCGTCCCGCTTCTGAAGTTAAGTGATGAAATATAAATTAGTGAAGATGAAGTAAAAGCTGAGCATCCCTCACAATTTTTTTCAAATCGATCTTTACAATTGAAAGCGAATTCATTCTTCCCAACTATGGCTTAGACGGCGGTCCAAAGATTGATAATGTATATTTCTCCGAATCGACTGTTCATCAGGAGTTGTTGGCGCTAAATAACTCAAAATCGCCTGGTCCCCATGATATTCCTCCCAAATTACTGAAAGAACTTGCTGGGGAGTTTTCTATGCTTCTCAATACCTCGTTTGAAGCTGGCTGTTTACCCGCCGATTGGAAATGTGCACGGATCCAATAGTTAGATAAAGGCGACAGAAAGTTTTCCACAAACAATTATAGACCAATCAGCCTTAATTCGATCTGTTGCAAAATTATGGAAAAAGTAGTTAAGCGAGAGCTGATATGGTTCTAAGAGCAGCATAACCTACTATCAGATGCGCAGCATGGATTCTGCAGAGGCAGGTCCTGCGTGAAGAACTTTCTCTGTTGTTTGGAACGTTGAACTCGGGCAGTTGATTGAGGAAATCCATTTCATGTAACCTATACCGACCTCAAGATGTACGTCAACGACAGCGTCCGTAATCTTGCTTGTGATGTCGTTATGTTTGCCGATGATATTAAGATATGGAACGTCATCAGAAATTCAGCTGACGAAGAGCATTTGCAGGTGAACCTAAATCATCTTCAAACTTGGTCTAAAGACTAGCTTTTGCCGTTTAATGAGAACAAGTGCAGTGTCCTACGAGTTGGCCGACCCAGCTCTCAGAGTTTACTGCCTGAATGTCATCCAACTGTAAGTAGTGGACGCGCAGAAGGATTTGGGATTGTGGATCACGACGTCACTTAAGCCTTGGCTGCACTGTGCAAAAGTAGCCAATTCTGCGATGTCCGTCCTGTACCTTGTCAAGCGGACTTTCTCCGCCTTTGATAAAGACTGCTTCGCTAAGGTCTTTGGAAAATTTGTGCGGCCGAAACTGGAGTTCGCTATCCAAGCACGGAGCTCCTGGACCGCGGACGATCTCAATTCCCTCGAAAAGGTTCAAAACTTGGGACCGGACAGGGCTCATTACCCTCTGAAGCACGTTCGGCTAATCCCGACCTAGTTCCTTTAAATTACAGGCAGCTACGTTGAGACCTGATACAAACATTTCGTATAATGCGTGGTCAGGATAGCTGCCTCCTACCTGGTGACTTCTTCGAGTTAGCAACAACTACGAACTTAAGAGGTCATTCATTCAAACTATGTTTAACAGGAGCCAGGCTAGACACACGAAAGTTC